AGCTAGAACAGAGGGAAGCAATAAGAAAGAAGAGGGAAGGGGGAAAGGGGGGGTTTAGGGGAAGCAGAAAGAGAGGGGGGAAGGGGGAAAAGAAGGTTCTGGGGGCAAGTGAACACCCTCAGTCAGCAGGGCCCAGTTCAAAGAGAGCTTTACCCTCTTCGGAGTAGACAAACATATTCCACAAATCCCCATGTATTGGAGTATGTCTCTCTTCTGTGTGTGGCCAAGAACAGATCTGGTTCAATTTTTCCACTTTCCTGAGCCATAGTCAGATGGACGGAGGGCTTGTACTTTTCCATTTAAGAACAATACAAGATTTGGTAGCGTTAAGGAGATCGTGAAGGATCAAATTTTTTGTATACTTTGGCAGGGATGCTGGAGGCACGTAGAGGGAAAAAGGCCAGGTCATCCGGCACCACATAATCGGTAAATTTTTTGATCAAGCGGCGAACCTCTGTCCAAAAAACAGTCAGTTTAGGACAGGACCAAAAAATATGTAACAATGTACCTCGTTCCCTGCAGCAATGCCAACATGTATCTATGGTGTTTGGGAAATGTTTACACAAGAGGACTGGGGTACAGTACCATCTAGTGAAAATCTTAAAATTAGTTTCTTGAAACTGTGTACACATGGAAGATTTAAACACAAATCGAATTATGTTTGTCCTCTGAGATTCGGTAAAGGGACAACCCAGGTCCACTTCCCATTTGTCCAAAAACGGAGGCCGGTAATCCTTTGGGGGTGTGATCAAAAGAGCATACATTTTAGAAAGCGTATGAGGTAAGAGGCAGAGGAGGGAAGCAGAGAGCATTGATAGTGCCACATTTGCATTGCTCTCCGGAAATCCAACTTAAAAGCTCCCCTTTTATGAAATAGAAAGTCAATCTCCAGCAAATAGAAAGTGGGAGGCCGAAAAAGCCCGCATGAAGCCAGCCTACGGAAAGTAATGTCTCGAACATCTGGTGCAAAGCCGGGATTCCCCAAAATTGGGAACAATGGTAAATGCCAGGAGGACAAGTACATGGTAGAAAATAATTGAAGGCAGATTCGACCAGTGGTGCCCACCAAGGGGTGCGTCCTGAAAGATGACACTACCTCCTTAAAGCACCATGGCAGATGACAGAGCAATAAGTCACACCGGGCCTGTTCAAGTCACAGCCAAATTTTAATCTCTCCATAGCAGCACCAATCTATAAGGCGGCCCAGATGCACAGCCTGGTAATATTTAAGAAAGTCAGGCACTGCTAATCCCATGGCATGTTTGGGGAATGTCAAGAGGCGGCGTCGGAGACAGAGCTTCCTTCCAGTCCAAATGAACTTAGTGAGAACAGAGTTAACTCTTTTAAGATAACTGGAAGGTAAGGAGATGGGAAAACTTGAAACAAGTATAGAAATTTCGGCAGGATGGAAATTTTGATATTACATTTCCCAAACCAGGAGTGAATTGCATATTGCCACTTATGTAGTAGAGTACGAACCGTATTGATAAGTGGAGATAAGTTCAGCTCCAAGGTATGACGGAGGCTAGCCGGGATGAAGGTGCCTAGATATTTCAGAGCGGTGTCTGTCCATTTGAATTTGAAGGAAAGTTGGAGCTGGTGGAGTAAGATAGGTGAGAGCGCCACACCTATCACTTCAGATTTAGTGAAGTTTATCTTTAAGTTAGACAGGGCTCCGTATCGATCATATTCTTGAAAGAGGTTAGGAAGGGAGATCGCCGGCTTAGTTACGGAAAAAAGCATATCGTCAGCGTAAGCCAATACCTTGTATTGGTGATCTTTGATACAAAGACCTATAGGGGTTTATTTACAAAAGCTGGAGAGTGCTAAATTAGGCTCTCTTCTGCATAGAAAATAATCAACTTCCAGGTTTTATTGCCAGAGCTTAATTGAACAAGCTGAGGTTAGAAGCTGATTGGTTTCTATGCAGAAGTGAGTCTGATTTTGCACTCTCCAGCTTTAGTAAATAAACCCCATAATGTCCGGATTTAAATGGACCCTACATAGAAAGGGTTCAAGAGTAAGGGCAAAAAAGAGGTGGAGATAGAGGACACCCCTGTCTAGTGCCGTTGGTGATCAAGGCTGATGGCCTTGAATATATGCTAGCAATCCAATGGATCATTGTGTCGCCTAATCCAATATGTTGAAGGACTGCAAAGATGAATTGTCAGTTCACCCGATCAAACGCCTTTTCCGCATCTGTGCCCAGGAATGCGCAAGGGGTGCGAGTCTGGTAGCAACATGGACTAGGTTCAAGATCTTAATGTTATCCCAAGCCTCGCGAATGGGTATGAAAGCAACTTGGTCCATATAAACCAGCGAGGGTAAGTGGTGCTGAAGACGTATGGCCAGAATATTGGCGAATAACTTGAGGTCAATATTCAATAAGGAGATTGGCCTAAAGCTAAGGATTTTAACTTTAACCACTTGCCTGCTCGGCACTTTTACCCCCTTCCTCCCCAGGCCAATTTTCATTTTTCTTAGTTTCTATTATAAAATTTTGCAAACAGGCAATTTTTCTCCTTCACTGATGTGCGTTGATGAGACTGCACTGATGGGCACTGACAGGCAACACTTATGGGCACTGATGAGGCGCGACTGATAGACAGCAGGAAAGTACTGCCAGTAACCATGTGTTTACATTGTGATCAGCTGTGATTGGACACAGCTGATCACATGGTAAAAGACTGCTGTGATTCGACACAGCTGATCACATGGTAAAAGGCTGCTGTGATTAGCCCTTTACCGTGTCATGTGATCAGCTGTGTCCAAAGGACACAGCAAACACAGATATATAAACAGGTGATTAGATTTCATAATCACTCTGATGAAGTCATGTGGGCGTGATGTAACGCGTATGGGGCTTGGCTCTGGGCAGACATGAATAGTGAGTTCAGCTGACAACAAGTGAAGCCTGCATCTGATGATTTTATGGCATTTTATCCATTTACTGCATGTGAGTGTATTACTGCTTCTTAATAAATTTTTATATTAGTACATACTGCACCATGGGAGTGTCCTTTGTTCCCTTTTAAGGATAGGAATGTGTGACCTCCATCACTCTTAAAGGGACTGATTCCTGTCTCTGGTGTGACAATCTATTGAAAGCTCAAAGGTGTTTGATTACTATCACATGGCTGTGGATTGAAAAAGTGAAGAATCCTTTTGTCTATTTGATATCATAAAGCGCATTTCCATGTGCTCTGAGGTGAGAGTTCTGTGAGCACTGAGGTAGCACTATATGGTATGTGCACTATTTCACTTGATGGTGTTTGGGATATCAGCACAAGAAGAAAGCACATGAATTATGGAAGAATCTTTATTACAAATTGATTTTACATATATGGACTCATTATGGACGTTTTATTCAGCTATGTCTCTCTTATTTTTTGTAGCTATTATTTAGCAGCGCTACATCACCTATTTATTATTTATATTTATTTTATTTTGTTTGTGGCTATATTCTTGTAAATGACGATACTTCTCTGTATCACTGTTCACCTGTACATGTGCGCACACAACGTATTTTTCAAGTACAAATGCTGACTTATATGACAGGCTGTATGCAGCACTTGTAGCTCCACAGGCAGGGGAATATGCACAGAATTTTACAATAAGCATATTTTCAGCCTTTCACCATCCAAGTTTATTAGGCCTTACAGACTCCATTCCTTTTGTCATCAATAATTTTACTTCATTGTAAGGCCCCTTGCACACTAGGCCATTCAGCTGCAGTGCCTCCTTCCCAGTGCTTTGCTGCACGCATTACAGACAACTGCAGCATGCAGCCCCCCGTATGGCTGGATGGGGCTGAGCGCAGTACTGAGTGGTACCAGCACTTAGGGCCCTGTCCATTAAGGGATGAGGTTCTGGAATGCAGGTCTTCTTGCTATAGTTGGACAACTAAAGCAGTATTTAAAAAGTGTTAAATGTGCCTAACCTCCTTTCACTCCGTTGCCCTAGACCAGGGGTGGGCAAACTTTTTGACTTGAGGGCCGCAATGGGTTCATATATTGGACCCGGGGGCCGGACCAAGAGTAGATGAATGATGTGTATGTGTCATCCATAGTAAGTATAGTAATATTCCTCCATAGTAAGCATAGTAATTAATCCCCCATATAGTAATTCATCCCCCATAGTAATTCATCCCCCATAGTAATTCATCCCCCGTATAGTAATTCATCCCCCATAGTAATTCATCCCCCATAGTAATTCATCCCCCATATAGTAATTCATCCCCCATATAGTAATTCATCCCCCATAGTAATTCATCCCCAATATAGTAATTCATCCCCCATAGTAATTCATCCCCCATATTAATTCATCCCCCATTTTAAGTCCCCAAGTCCCCCCTGTGTCAATTCACTTACCTTTGCTCCGCGCGTTCCTCTCGCCGTGTTCCCGCGCCGTTCCGGTGTAGCATGAAAATCTGTCTCCTATGAGGATCTGTCCCCCTCGACGTATCTGCGCATGTGCCAGTTTCAGGCATTAGCAGCCGATCGGCGATCTCCGGCACATGCGCAGATACGTCGAGGGGGACAGATCCTCATAGGAGACAGATTTTCATGCTACACCGGTTTTCAGGGCGGACTGTGAGAGGAGCCTAGCGGGAGCCTAGCTCCGTGGGCCGGATTAAAAGGTCCGCCGGGCCGTACACGGCCCGCGGGCCGTAGTTTGCCCATTGCTGCCCTAGACACTGGTTATTACATGCCCTATGTAATCATGGTTCTGGCTCTAGTCAGTCACCAAGAGGATACAGGAGATATTCAAGTAACCTATACCTAAGAGCATATCAAGGTCTCACCCACTTTTTACTGAACCCGTTTCATTACAACTGAAATAAAATCTTACTGTTCTTCAATCACTCTTTTTCTTCCAGATATCAATGCTTCTCTTTTTTTTGGAGGTAGAATGAGAGACCGTCCTCCATGCAAGGTGTTTGGTGCTAAAAAGCGTGGGTTTTTTAGGAAATTGTGCCGCTTCTCTAATTGTGCCAACTGAGCACGTTGGGCTTCTCTGTCCTCAGCATTCATCTCTGACTTCTGCAACCACTTTTTTGATGGTGTAGTTTTCTAAAAGATATCAACATATGATGCAAAAGAGATATTTTTATATATACCAACACTGAGAATAATTTGGATGAACTAAAGGAATCTACCATTCTTTCTTGAATATTTAATTGTGTTATAGGCGGTACAAAGACTTTGTTTTTATTATCAGGATTTCTAATATTTTTTAATCTAGCAATGCAATACATTCTGGCATTTAGCAGCCTACTGTGGATAACTAGCCTTTTATTAGGCAAAAGTAACTGCTTAATTGTCTGACAATGGGACATTGCTGTTTTTATGCATTGCCTTTAGAACGTGGTTTATATACAGGGTTTCTTTATTCTGTTTTAGAGCCTGGGTCTCCAAATTTTCTAAACAAAGGGCGGGGTTCCACTTCTTTCTACAGAGGGGCTGGACTGTGGCCAGCAGCAGAAAATGTCCTGGTGTCAGTGGCAGTAAACAATGCCCCATCTTTGCTATTAGGGGGAGGAATAGTGCCCCAACTTTGGTGTCAGGGGGAGGAATAGTGTCCCATCATTGGTGACAGTTATATGTTTTCATTCACATAGCATAAAAAAAATACAAATTACTGCTTCCATATTACTTGCTCTTTTCTGAAAACTCCAAAACTGAAACTGTGCAGAGGGGGTTAGGAAGTTAATGTTTACCATAAAAAAGCGTGTCTGCACTGCGCTGGAGGATCTTATTGCCAGCTGTAAACTATATTTGAACAAAGTCTATCCTAACAAAGGGTTAAAGATTTAAAAAAGGCTACTGCACTGTATGGTTATCATTGGAAACTCAGTGCGTCTCTAAGTTGTCAGTGGGGACAGATTGGGTTTTATCTCATTTTGAATTGTTCTGAGTAGGATTTCATCTCATTTTGAATTGTTCTGAGTAGGTTTTTATTTTATTTTTTCTTTGGTTTGCTGTGTGAATGTGAACAGATAACATATACATAAATATATAGAGGGGGGTTCTAAAATTTAACAGAAAATGTGGAAATACACTTTAAATTTATTTTTAAAGAGGACAGTCTCGGATATTTAGTGAGGATCTATTGGTATATCTATACAGTATCCTCAAAAAAAAAAATATTCGTTACCTTACTTGACTTCTTATGACTTTGCTCTTCAGCATCACAGGTAGATGATAAAGTCAAGCTAGAGGAAGAGGCTTTAAGAAGACCCCTAACTTCTATGTCAGGAGCTGATGAGTCACAGTAACCATCATCTACAGGGCTTCTGGACATGTGCTGATGGAAACAGAATGTCTCTTTGTAAAATGAGGGATCTGAGAACCCTGAAATAAAACACATGAATATTAATACTGATCATTAGCGCCTACTAAATCCTGTGGAATTTAAAGCACAAGTCCTCATAGTTATAGGGCAAAATTCTTAAATGTGAATGAAGAAAAACTGTCAGAACATGAAAAAAGCCAAACCTGCCCCCCTACCTTATCCCTCCAATGCCTATAATTTACCTTTATCACCACTCAGATTGTTGCCACCAATCTCTGAAATTCTATGTAGGGAGAAGCATGTGACATGTCACGTTACCAGAATTCAGAACTCTAAACCTGAGTATCCCCCAGCTACAGTGCAGGCGCATGGGGATGGGGCATGTCATTCAGCATGATTGTTGGTACCCACTGGTAACTTTGTAAGAGTGGCGTCGATCTGAGCAGTGGATAAATTAAGTATAGGTACTGTTATAGCATAATAAGTTGCATATCATTAGATTGCACAGCAAATTAGTAAATTAGTAGGAGGGTATAAAACAACACAATTATACAGCAGGCTAGTTGTCATGTATGGAAATAATTATTAATTATTTATGCTTGTGATTTCCCTCAATCATTAACACTGTTTGAAAGCAATGTGAAAAAACAGAACCCCCCAGACATACTCCTGTCACAATGTACAATCTTCAGATTTATCCACCCAAAAATTGCACCCAATCATATTTGATAAAATAGAAACAAAACCCACAGCACCAACTAAAACAGAAAAAAAAAACCCAAATCTATTATACACATAAAACTTCAACTTTTACAAAGTACTGGGAATGAGATTTAGATTCTTACCTGCTGGTACTGAGCACCACAAGTACCCCACCACACGTTCTTATCAATACTATGCCTGAGGTTTGGGCAAGACAACTGAGACATGCTATATGTGTTCTGATCCTGCAACTTCCTGTAACTATTCTTGGACAAAGACAGGTGCATCTCGCTCAATAGCGCTAGACCTGGCCTTCTTTCTTTGCACCACATCACTACACTGAGAAAACCCTCCCAAAGTAGATAATTGCACCAGAAACTGCCTACCTGAACTATGGAAATCATCCCAGGCTCCATCTATTCCAAACAGAGGACCTTACTAAGTCCACCATGAAAACTCATGAAAATTCTGTCAGACCCAGTTTTACTGGAACAAATCTCACCTCTACCTCCAAGTGTAAAGCTCTCTTGTACAATGACCTTTCATAGTCAGTTTTTTGATTATATATATTTGATACAGTGCTGCAAATAGATTGTTGACCCTGGATGGAGGAGAGGTTTCCCTCTGCAATCATCCCTTAATTTACCCCACTCCACCCCCAACCCTCCCTTCCTTCCACTCTCCACCTTGCCCCTTTTTGTTTCCATTATCTACATCCTATTACTGATCATCCTCTTCTCCATCATGCCCAAACTTCCCACACCCTTACCCCTCAGACTCTCCCCTCCAAGGCATAGCCTAAAAAATAATGCAATGGTTTGTAACCTAGATAAGATAAACCACCTTCATCATCACATCCAGGCACTCCCAGAAATAAGAAGTCAAGGCAATATTTCAAGGTTTTGAAATGCTTTGATTGCCACGTAGATGGAACAGTGATGATGGGACACAAGTTTACCCAAAGCTGTACTGTATTATTTCAGGTTATACGATTGTCTTTTTTACAAATATTTTGTCAAAGTGTTTCCTGTGTATGCTCTAAACTTTTACAAATAAAGAATATACAAAAAAAGTAAAAAAAAAAGTGTCTAAAGTGTGCACAGAGGAATCTTGCTTATGATGGTCAATCCAGACACCATCTTTTGCCTCCTCTGTACCAAACCTATTAAAAAATGAAAATGGCTGACAGGTTACAATAAAATAAATCACACATAGCAAAGGTTTCTGGGCAAATGCGTTCACCAAAAGGTAGCCAAATCACTTTCATCACATGACAACAATACTTCTCAGGATTAAAAAGCCTATAGCAGGCTTCTATGGTAACTGTGACACCCTTGCAACAATACAGTACATACCTTTAGGAGCCTTACTACTAGGAAGCACATCGGTGATGTAGTCTTCAGGAGAGATGAGCTTATGCTTTTTGAGCAGATCATTGTCAACACACCATCTGAAATATGACTCAACTGTAAAGAAAAAAGACACATACATGTGCCAGTTTCAGATATGCATAACAATGAGACAGATTGTAAAAGGAATGAGGTGTTGTACTGTAAATGATTTAAGAAATATAAGAATGCTTAAACTGTTTGGTAATGGTTTAATATGCCTGCAGTTCCTTGCATTGGTACATATTTAGCTGATTTCCTGCGGCCCTAATGCCAGAACTGTGTAAGGACCCGATCCAAAGACAGTGTGTGGCCTGCTCTGCACAAACATTATGGTGACTTTGGGAATCTGAATGATTAACACACTAATGTTATTATGTGTGCAGTAGATGCCTTTAAATAAATGTTAAATATGGAGAACAACGAATGGCAGCCAAGCAAATAGCATTGTCAGAAGCAAAGGGCAGCAGTGGTAGCCTACATACTTATATAAAGAGAAGTTTTTAAACTAGTTTTTGTGTATCTGGACATTTGACATTGATGTTAATAATCTTGCATGTGGGCTTCAACAATGTATGTGTTCAAATGATGAATTGTAGGTGGCACACTACTGTGCTAAGCAATTGTTTAAGAACAAGGCCTTAGAGAAATCCCACATATCCTCAGTATGAGGCAAAAAGAGCCGCTGTATATGTCTGCACTTGTCAAGTGATCAACACCTGAATATAGTTCCATCATCAAGTGAAAAAGGTGTGCACATCAGGTGTTAGGACCACAACAGAAAAAAAAAAGACAGACCCTTGACTAATGCAGGCCATAGATGGGGAGAAAAACGGCCAATTTTTCGTCCGAAAATAAAACCGGCCGATTATCTTATCGTTAGTGGACGATTTTGTCGGCCGTTTTTCGTGTATTTTGGACTTTCAGATTATCGGTGATGTTGGAAAATTTTCGAAAAACGCCCGACTTTATCCTCATTGATGGTCAAAAACGAACGATCGTTTTCCGAAAAAGGATCACAAAGGCCACAAAATGACATCATTTCCCGTTATAGGTTACTCATTAATCGGCCGATTTTCGTAATAATTGGTGGTCAGGTAAGTTTTTTAGACCGACCGATAGTTCGTTAATCGGCCGAAAATCTGCCGTTTTTTTCTCCCCATCTATGGCCTGCATAACACAATAGACATTTTTTTCCTTTTTAATAAATGAATGCTGGCCATAAACGGTTAGAAAATCTCAAATCCTCAGACAATATAATCAAAAGAAATAGGCATGAAAATGCCTAAACATTTGTAATTGCAACACTTTTCTGGGCGAAGTGGTGTATTATCTGAAAGAAATGCAGGGGTACCAATATTTTTTGCCATGACTGTATGTGCTAATAAACAGAAGCTTAATATGCCACTTTTGACATGCATACATTTGTGCAGCTTGATGAATCAGGTCCAGAGTGTCAACTGTGATCTTACCTGGAGGTAATCCTAGGTTCTGGTATGTATCTTCTCCTTCATTCTTCAGGCAGTCAAGCATCCGTTCCTCTTCTGCTGTAGCCCGTGCTCGTGCCTGGATAATATGACGCTCTACCATATCACACTCCTCCATTCTACGATCATACTCTGCACGAATCTAAGCAATCAGCAACAACACAATATCTATATGGAAAAGATACTGCAGAAGGGCAAAATGCTTGTAAATAAAACCTGTGCCATGGTACATTCTAAGAACCAAGTCTTTCTTTACATAAGTGTTTCAACAGTGAAAGCAAGTTTAAAAAAGTGTCCTCCCTGAGCAGAGAGACAATACGAATAACAGGCCACACCCACAGGTATAAGCACCGACCCACACTTCTTCGCTGCCACTGCAGCCCTCCTCCACATCTGGACCCTGAGAAAACGTCAGTGTCAGGGCTTAGCCTGGTGGGTAGCCTTCCTGCCCCTGCACAGTGTTTGTGTGTGGCAATTGCCCAATCAGCACTGTCACATGGGTGACATATTTAGAAGTCCTGAAAGAGTAAAGTGACAGTGACTCCTTAACCCGATTCTTAGTTTACCCCCCACATTTACCCTCTCCTCTCTTAAATGCTAAAACTTAACATAAGGCCTATTCACACTATGGGATGTGTTAAAGAACAACTCTGGGATAGGCACAAAAATCACCCATTAGTACACCCCTAAAACACTAAACAGTTAATAATATTTTGTAAATCCTTATCATTTAAGAGAAAATTCTAATTGAATTTTCATGACCTCATCTCTGTAATTCAAAAGATAAAAGCATCTGCTCTGCCAAGGAGGAGCTGTAACAGCAGGGATTACATCATATCCTTCTCTCTCTCTCTCTCTCTCTCGTTCTCTATCTCTCGTAAAAGGAAACTACAGTTCCATCAACCACAGGGAATTGTAGTGAATGTGGGCAGGTACACTAGGCCTGTAAATGTTGAATGTGTCTGAGAGTCTCGGTCTGCCCACCACTGCAAGTAGAGAACTAAAGAAGGAATGTGCCAAGACCAGTGGCTGGGGAATTAGGATGCATAGCAGCCATTGGTTTTACAAACAGGAAATCAAAGAGAAATAACAGTTTGATTTGAAAATAAATAGGCTATTTCAGAACAACTACTGAGTGAACGAGAAGATGGATGACATATTCAGTGAAGGTAGGAAATCAGCAACAGGAACATGTAAAGAGGTTTTTGTCCAGAGTTCTGCTTTAACAGACATAAATTACTTCTTTTAGAGCAGCACACCACAACACACAGACAGTTCACTTCAGTACATTATGGTGTGCTACAATGCTAGTGTGTTGTACTGCAGAACCTAGGAGTATTGGGGTGCCAATCAAAGCAAATGGTAATGCATTGAAATGTAACCCCGAAATATGACCCAAAACATTAACCCAAAATTCAACCAAACACTGAATAAAACCTAACCTTAAGTTACACCCTTAACCTGTGAACCCAACTGGCCATCTAACCCCTATCCTTAATTCCTATTACTAAGTCAACACTAAAACTTACCAAGTTAACTGGTCCAGTGCTCCAAGATATGCCACAGCCTTCCTCCTGTTTCTGCCTTTGAGGAATAAAGGCATAAGCCAGGTAAAAGCCGCAATCTTTTTCCAACAGCAATCTAAAATTGCTTGAGTCTACACCTCTACTCAGCCAACTTGTTGCAAGCAATGCTCAAAGCAGGCATATTGCTCGCTTTTATTGAGTGGTGGTTAGCCACCTAAACATCTGCTTTATACACACCACAAAGAGTTCAGTGCTCAATAAACAATACGTACCTGCTGCAGTTCCTCCACAAACTTCTGATGATGAGGGTTGTCACTTCCCTTAGACCGAATCAGATTAGCTCCTGTATCTTTACCGATTATTTCCCCAGTGTATACGTTTTTGAAAAGGCTTGTCAACAAATGAGATATATCCTGAAAATAATATAGAGATTAAATCACTAATAAAAACTGCAAACATATTAATTATTAAAGAAAATGGAACACTAGCCAAAACTTTTTTTTTAATTGAGAAGTGAAGGACTCGACTTTCTTTCAGATTTTTATCCTTGTCTGTCTCCCCTTTGAGGAGATTTCCTCTCACTTCCTCTCCCAGAGATACCCGTTTCCCAAAAGGTGAGAACAAATCTCCCCAACAAGAACACAGACAATGACAAAACCTGGTAGAAGTTCCAAATCCTCCACTCTCACCCTTTAAGAGAATAACGGTGCAGCTAATATTTAGATTTTTATATTCTGATGTCAAGAATTATGGAAAGGATGATGTTATCAAAGCAAAAATATGTTCCAGAAACCTTCAACTGCGTGCCAGAAATGAATTCAGCTTTGTAACAGGATCCTAGATTTATTAGCAAGTTACTATCATATAGAATGCAGTGTGATCATTCCTTTGATTAGAGGAAATTATACTCGGGTGCTATAAAGGAATTTGAAATGTTTAGTGTAATTAACGCTGCAGCTCACAATTAAGGCTTTGTTCAGAAGGGCACTTGCACCTGTCCAGTATTCAGGCTGCCGTCTACATTCGTCCTGAGCTGCGTGCAAGAATCATACTGAGGTAGATGAAGATACAATGGCTGCACAGACACAACTGCATTTTAAAATGTGACAGCCTTGTAGAAGTTGGGGCTGTGCAGCAGCTCCTGCACAGCTGTCAAATTTTGACATGTGGCTGTGTCTGCACAACCACACACAGGACAGGTGCAAGCATCATCACAGTGATGGATGGACATCATTAGAGAAAATATTCTCTTGCATCCAACTTTAAAGTGAACATCTGAACTCCCCCCCCCCCCCCCCCCCCACAAAAAAAGCAATCATTTGATGCATATAGTGCAGGCTTTCTCTGGTGCCTGTATGCATAGTTGCTTTTGCTGTGGAGCACCCTGTCTACCTTAAAGTGTATGTAAAACTGGGAAAAAAAAACTTAAAGGAGCAGAAAATAAACATACATACTTTACTATTTCCAACTCCAGCATGCAGTCAATGCCCAGGGAGAGGCCATTACCTAGTACCAGTCCCTTACCACTATCTTTAATATCTTTAATATAATGCAAAATATCACCTCCACTAAGGGCTTTATTTCTAAGTATGCTATGTTGCTAGTTAATTTTCTTGATGAATGCCCCTTTAATGTGGAGAACTACTCGCCTGCTGATATAGGTCCCTTTGAGGATGATCATTGGGTGGAAGCCCTGCAGGAAGTTCAGGAGAGCTCCCTTAATGTGAACCAAAATGTATGCAACTCTCTGTTTACTCTCATTTCTCAGGGTATACTACACTCCTAAAAACTGTTTAAGATGGGCTCTCTAGATAACCCCTTGTGTGGTAAATGGTTCATTTATAGAGATGTCTGAAATAACTCTATTGGACAAGGATCATTCAAATGTTAAATGCAATATTTCAGGTGAAAATCCAGAATAATCACAAACAATGCCTCTTAGGTGCCGTTGGCACTTGTGCGACTTGTCATGCATTTTTGGACTCATAAAGTCACATGACAAGTCGCAGCCCATTGTTTTCAATGGCACTCATTTGGATTTATGCGGTTCCTGCACTATTTTGATGCGATTTGAGTGCCAGAGAGTGTAAAGTTGAATCAAAGTTGCATTAAAAGTCTCACTGGAAATTGTGCAATTCTGGACTTGCACAAGTGTGAACGGAGCCTTAGGGGTTCTAGATAGTCTTCAATTACAGGAAAAAAAGCTCCTGCTAGAGCCTTATTTCAAGCACGTAGAGATGATTCTAACTCACTGGAAATCGATTATCTGCCCACTGACAGGGTATGGATAGGATATATGGAAGATACGCTTAGGAGGGAAAAGTATATTTATCAGCATAGGGAGTGCCCTGATAAATTTAAAATAATATGGGCCCCAAGTCTTGGTACACCAGGTTTTTGTTCGTAGATCTAGTAACCAACAGATGTCTTTAACTTGTCTGGCTCAGTTGCGCCTGTGCTGTGTCGTATTGGCCAAATACTTTACTTTGTAGATTGTGGAATGTACTACTCCCCAAGGGGGTTTGGTATCATATGTTACATGTTATGGCAAGCCGTATTTGTAGCATGGTGATGCATATACTTTGTACTTTTGACTACTGTCCTGAAAACGACTGTATATGCTTGATGCTTGCTCTGGAATTGTAATCTGTTTGATCTTAATAAATCATTTTTGTGCTTTAAAAAAAATCCACAAACATACTTGCCTCTACCGCTAATAAATACTGTATTTACCAGACCATAAGGGATACAATATGAGAAGTTTAATATCAGGGTTTACATAGTCTTTAAAATATCAAGCATTGTATTCATGAAAAAGTGACCAGGATGATGATGGTGCATAGTCTACCCGTCCGGCTCTCCTCCTCTACCCATTGGCTACAGAATGTGACAGACACCCTTCCTGGCCAGTATTTAGATTATATTTAGTGATTTCAGCAGCTCTTCATGGTTATACAATACCCTTCCTTTACATTACCTTACCTGTGTCTTTTCAGAGGATGGTCTTGGCCTGTACATGGCAGGATCTGGGGACAGGGTGACATGGTGGAAATTCTCTTCTGTAGACATTTTATATTCGTGTCTGGCACCTGTTCGTTATAAAGCACACAGTAAAAACTAATTCACAGAAATAACACATACTATAATTCTGTTTTTTGAGGGGCAAAGTTCAGCTGCTAACTATCCCTAAACAGAAGCCAGGATTTAGAACGCGCCCCTGATGTTGCCCAGCATCTGGTACCCCTTGGTTTGCATACATTTACCCCCAGTTCCCACTGTTCTACATTAATATTCACTGAACACTTATTCAACAACCAAAATGCCCTTGTCTATTTTACAAGTTATTTGTTAACCCCTTCCCTCCAGTGATGGCATTCCTTTATCAGGGTCTTTACACACAGGGGAAAGAAAGGATCAACCGATCATGTGACCACTATGGTTAACTGTTACAATGGTCATATGATCAGGAGCCAGTCCTGCTAATCATTAGTACGGACAGAGAGCTGTCTTTTAGGCCTCGTTTACACCATACAGTGCCTTGAAAAAGTAT